TTTTTTTTTTTTTTTTTTTTTCTTACTTACTGGGTCACTCTTCAGGAATCCTCGGTCCACGAACTTCGAGAAGTCTTTGATCAATACGTCCTTGATGAAGTCAGGATCTTTGACAAATAGGACAGGCACTGTTCTTAAAAATGCCCCTATCAGAGGCTCGTTCTTGTAACTATTATAGACTCTCGTCAGGAATTCTGGAAGCGGTTCCATTCCGAACATTCCCTTTAGAACGTTGCCGAAACCAAATACCGGCTCTGGTCCTGGCACTCCGCGTCTCTTCCAGAAGCCATAACAGGCCGTAAAATAACAATAGACGGTGATCAGCGTCACCACGACTCCGCACAGTAGTTCCAAGTTGTTAAACATTTTCTTCTAGAACAGTTTCCGAACTATACGACGAAAAAACAAAGTTTGGTTAAAACGGAAATGTTCGCATTATTTCTCACAATTTCTTTCTTATTCCTTTCTGTCCTATTTTATTTTTCACTTCTTACAATATTAAATTCTTCTCTATCGAGTTAAATTTGTCATTTGCTAAATTAATCTGTACATTTTCAATTATTTAATTGTTTAGCAAGCAGTACTATTTACATCATGCAAATTTTATTCCTATCTATTGAACTTTTGTTATTAAGTCAATTAATTACTTTCTCCAATTAATTTCTTTTACTCTCTATGCTAGCAAAGCTTTGTTTTTATTGGACGAAATTTTGTTGCTATTAAGTTAATTAATCTTCTCATTCTGAATTACTCAACTATTACTTTGAAATTTCAATGAATAGCGCAAATTTCGACACTTCACTTTTTATTTTATCATTAAATTTGATATCTTTTCATCAAACTAGATCTTTTATCATCAAATTAACTAACTTCTACCTAAATATTTTCTATATTTATTACATTTATTTTCATTAAATGAAATTAATTGATTTCTGTATTATCTTAAATTAAATTATGCTTCTCTGAATTAGATCCTATCTGTGGTAGAACGTTAAGGATTCGATTCATTTTTTTTTTTTTTTT